ATACAAACATGGTGGGTGAGAACACAGACGACGCGACACAGACTGCATGAAACACAGAGACTAAATACACATAAGGGATGATCAGGGAAAGTGGGCACACATGGGAGCACAGCTGACACACATGAACCTAGAGACAGGACAGGAGAAGTGAAACTAAATACTCTGACATTGAATACAGACTTTCAAAGTAAAACAGGAAACATGGAGATTAGACATGACATGAACTAAACATAACCACGCAGACGTGACGCATGAACCAGGGAGACTGAGTACAGGGGGAAATGACATAAACAACTAAGAAACAAAGGACTAAACAGCAATCTCAGAATAAACTAGATGAACTAAACTAGGGCACAAATGAATATAAAAGATACATAAAACTCAAACACTGGGTCGCTCGACCCAGGACCATGACAGAGGTTGTCTCCACAATGGACAGATTGCCAGTCTATCAGAGAAAAAAATACAGATAATAAACAGGGAAACCAACTCATGTACAAAAAGACACAAAAATGCTCTCCTTAGCACCAAAAAATCCGATTTAAATTGATTTGAAATATCTGACATTTTGGCCTAAAGTCCTAAATCAACAACTTTTATTCTTTGGGTATTTACAATATGCTATTAGTAACCAGCATTGCCGTTATGGTCTGGTGGGATTGAAGAATAATTGATAAGGTCATCTCAAGAACTGCAGCTGGAAAGTAGGTATCGGCTAAATCTGGTACAATAAATCTCTTCTTTTCGGACATTAATGTTTTTTGTACATAGTCACAGACAAATAAATAAAATATAAATACAAAATACAGGGATCATCAAGCATTTATCAAAACAAATGCAAATCTCTGTGGCATTCTGGACATCAAGCTCTTTGTAATTCATGTATATGCTGCTTCTGATCACCCTGCACAATCATCATCATGAAATCTGACGCGTCAAAGTGTATGAAGCATAAAAAGTGAATGTCTACAACAGCCAAAACTTTTGGCTGGGACTTCATTTGTTATTTGAACAGAACACTATAAAAGTGTCAAAGGTCCAGTAGATTTACTTTATAGTTATGAGTAAATCTTCCTAATCATAAAACTGTTTTATGTCACAAACAGTAACTGCAATAAATTTCTAAGTTGCAAAAAATCCAAATGGTCATAGCGTATATGTTTTGTGTTTCCTCCGAAGTTTTAGTGAAGTCCAGTGTAAAGTTGTGTAAAGTTGTAAGCCAGACCATCTCCAAATGTGGGCTGGCTTATCACTCCTATCCCATTAAATGGCTGTGAGTATATGCCTGCCATTAACACTGGAGGATGACCAATAAAAAGCTAGAATGCACGTGAATCATTTAGAGCACATTGGTAAATAGTTTACCAATGTTAGTTCACCGTGTAGTCTATGATTCAGTGGGTGATTATATCAAAGTGAATGTCTAATGTGAGGTGAGCTCCCATTTGCACCTGCATCCTATACTCAGACCCACTTCATGTGTTTCCCAAAACACTAGTTATATCCTTAGACTTTCTGCATATGTGGTGTTTATGGAACATAAATTGCATATATTGTATATTTTATCATTTTATGTTAGACTTAATATCTCTGACACT